CGTTTTTTTAAAGAGGAAAATCATCGATTTTAATACTGATATCGAAACTGTAGTCGATTGCGAAATTTCCTCTCCGAAAATACCGATGACGCCTACAATACGTTGAATTTGTTTGTCAAAATTGGTAAGTGAATTCTCCAGTATCCTGACAACAGATGTGCGATCTCAAAATTCGAGAAAAATGTCAAGTAGCTGAAATTATGGAACAAATCGATGCGATATACCGCACGTTGCTCTGACTCTGATTAAGAAAATGGCAACCGTCGAATCACCTTAAGTATTTTTTCCTGGTACCCAAACTTTTGGCGTGATACAGGATGATACCCCTGGGGTGGGTGTGGTGGAGATTGAAGGTGGTTTGCATGTTGACAGGTACAAAGTGCAAGTGCTGCCGACACGGCCGCGGGACGCGGAGGCCGCCGCAGGGACCGGGCACCACGAGAAGGGCTACTGGGACCCGTTCAAGGAGCGGAAGCTAGACCACGCCACCACCGACGGCGAGACGCTCACCCATCTCCTCAAGGCCTCCCTCGGCACCGGGATCCTGGCCATGCCGGCCGCCTTCAAGAACGCCGGCATGATCACCGGCATCTTCGCCACCATCATCGTCTCTCTCGTCTGCACCCATTGCTCATACGTCCTGGTAAGCACCCAACACAGAGACAAGAGACCCTCCACTGGCCTCCTAGCGACAGGTGGAAGCTTTTACTTTCGGGGTTTCAACAATTCCTTATGGACAATTATTAGGGAGCAACAGTCATCACCCTAGTTTCGGCTGTTGACTTACCTACATGGTCGATGATGAGCTTCGGATGACGTCATGAGCCAAACAACTTTCCCAAACGTCGGCCATTTTCGGCTTGTTTGCCAAACGAAACTGCCAACACGTTGTTGAACATCAACCATGTAGGTAAGTCAACAGTAGAATGCTGAAGTCCCGAAAGTAAAAGCTTCCACCATGGCCAAGATACTAGTGGAGGGTCTCTTGTCTCTGACCCAACACAAGAGTACGTTCCTTTCATCCACACTGAAAAAAAAAATCTCGGTGTGTTTACTAAGAAAATGGTAAAATTACCAAGAATTCAGGGTTCTATTTGATCCTAGTTTTTTCTTGGTAAAATTACCATCTATGAAACTGGTAATTTTACCGAGAAATCTCGGTAAAATTATTGACTTTCTCGGTAATTTTACTGAGCCCCGGTAAAAACGCCAATATTTTTAATCGACTGTACGGTAGAGGTACCGAGATAAAATGGCAAAGCTACCGGGAATTGATTACCAATGAAAGTGGTATTCTTACCTGAAAAAACAGTAAAAATACCGTTTTTTAGGTAAGCTTACCAGTCGGTCTTGGTAAAATTACCAATAATTGGTAAAGAAAGTGAGATGGTAAAGGTACCAACGGACCTTGGTAAAAACGCCGAGAATTTTTTTTCAGTGCAGCTCCTCCGACAAATCTAGTACCTGTATACGGGAGAGTACTGCCATCTCTGTGCCGCTCTCTGAATCAATCAGAGACTCTGATTGGTTCATCAGTTTTAGGCTATCATGGAGCTCCAAAGTTGGACCAATGTAAACAAACCCGATCCAGAGGAACACTTATTATCGCTGTCGTGCTTAAGGAAAAACGCCGTACGAACCTTCAGACGTTGCCAAATTGCCTCCGATAAAAATCGAGTTTACTGGGAGAATTGTGAATATTTGTTTCCAAAATTGTCACACAATTTTTTACGCAATTCAGTCTAAAATGTCTGAAATGGGTTTCAAAATGGGTACTTTTAACAGAGATTCACTATATTTTCTTCATAAAATCCGCCAAAAATTGGCCCATCCGGGTCCAAAATATTTACCCCTAAAGGTGGGGGACAGAGCTTTCCTCCACAAAACACCAGGTCACCAAATCGACGTGGAGGCCGTGGGAAAACTTATGATTTTTCCGGTGATTGGCCCCAAGATATCCGAATGTGATGCTCCGAAGCTTCACTGGGTGGTTTAAGAGGGCCCTAGACTTTTTGAATTTAGCAAGTAGTTTTAGGGCTCCTTTGAGTAGAAAAAAAAATTGAAAGCAAAATATTCACACGTTTCCTAGAAAATCCGTGTCAAAAGAGAGGAAATTTGGCAACACCTGAGGGCTTATACGACGTTCTCCCACAGCGGGCGTTCGCCCGATGTCCGAAGATTTTCCTGTCGTGCGGGTAGGGTATTACTTTGCAAGTGTTTTCTCTTTCTCTTATTAATTTAATAATGTCTTTAATGCATAAATATAACTCGAGCATATTGCTCTCCTGCTTTCAGGTAAAATGCGCACACTCGCTGTATCATAGGAAGAAAGTGACTACAATGACCTTTGCAGATGTCGGAGAGGTTGCTTTTGCGAACGGACCTCCATGGGGCCGGAAATTCTCCAAATGGGCTAGATTCTCCATTCTCTTCGGTCTATTCTTAGCGTACTTCGGAACATGCAGTGTCTACACTGTTATCATCGCCAAAAATTTCAAGATTGTGAGTAACATTGAGTCAGTATTCAATTTTAGCATCTACCGCTTCGCAGTGGCGATTCTTAA